TTCTTGGAAGTTGATTTTACCCACTACAGTGAAATATGCTCATTCACCAAGATCCAGGTGGCCAGGATCATTTATGTCGAAGAACAGGACAATTATTGATTGGCAACAATGAACTAATTTATTTATTTATTTATTTATTTATTACATCCTTTAGAAATGAACAGTTGTTATTAGGTGAGCATTTGTCTTAAAATTTTCTTTACTTCAGTCTCCATAAATCTTACACAAAGTTGCTGCCCATCAGATGTTTTTCCTTGTTTGGAATATACAGATATTTATGGCTAGGTCTGTCTTCCTGCTGGGTAACAAGAAAAGCAGTGACCTCTGTGACATGCCGTAACCTTGTCTTCCTGATGCCACAGTGCAGGGTCTTCCCCTGAGGAGTCACCTGGGCTTGTGGTATGCAGGCCTTCTGGTCTGGGCTTGAGCAGCATATTTTTGTTCTGATCGAGGCCATTCTTTTAACCCTTGTGCTGCAGTTTTATTGGTGTTTACACACATGCATTTCTATTCATACTTCAGTCATATCACTCTTACTATTTTCTGTTTCAAGTCTCAGTGTATCTACAATGTCAAAGTATGCAAAACCGATGGCCTGGATGATATAAAACCACAAAGCATTTTGTCCATGCTCAAATAAATGATGCTTTATCCTCTGTTTAGGTTTTTTCATGGAACCCACTGTATTCACAGATGTTGAAGATCATATGTATATTGCCAAGGAAGAGTCCTTCGGTCCTGTGATGGTGATTTCCAAATTTAAAAATGGGTACGTTCTCCTCTGGTGACTGTTTGAAAATTTACTTCTTCATTTTCACCCTATGCATAGAAATGATAAAATACATAGTATAGAAATGATAAAATATGTAGTATGGTTTTGTTTAATCTTGTAAATCTGTCTGAATCCCTAGGTCTTCTTCCACCTAAACTCAGAAAATTTTTAGTATGGGGTATCCTTCTCCATGTCAGTATAGAACTAATGCTATTAGAAGCATGCAAGGGAGTAGAAGGCAACCTCAAGTGCCACTTCTTAAATAAGACCTGGTATTTAATGTAATATTTTTACTGGAGCTTATATAATTGCAACAGCTTGATCAAATTACAAAACGTGTATTTTTTTTTCCCAGTGTAATTGCTTATTCTTCTCTTTGTCACAAAGGACTGCATAGCGTTGCTGTGCATTGTGCACAACTGGAACACTATTTTTGTAACTAAAAGCTATGAAAACTGGCAGTCCATAAAATCATTTTATATCATAGGAATTATTTTACAAACAGATGAGATAACCTTATATAAAAACATCGTGTGACTATTTCCACCTGCTTTAATCTTTCTGCACTACCAAAGTGCGTTGAAGACCTGGTCACATAGATACCCCTTTATATCTACAAATTATGTATAGCAATAAGGGGCTATGACAAGATTTTGAAGTTTTAACTTGGAAGGTATATGGAGAAGAAATACAAAAATAGCACTCTGAACATGTCCTGAAAAGACATGTCACAATAGAAGGCTGAGATTCAAATTTATTCTCTTTTAACTTACAAATTTTTGCAAACTGATGCATAAACCTGCTGTCAAGCTCTGCTTTACAAATGTTTTTGTATTGCTGTAATCCCCAAGTTGTGCTGTAGCTGAGCAAAGTTAGTATGCACAACGCAACTTTTCTTCTGACATTTCTCAGTGTAGTCTTACACAGAAATGTAAACGCAAGCTTTATAAATTTGAAGCAAGTGTATGAATTTCCTTAAATCTGACAGATTGACACAGAGAGTAGTTCTTAATAAATGGTGTCTTTAACAAAGCTAACTGGAGAAGAGAGTGCATGGGAAAAGGTGTTTCAATGAAAATGAAGGTGAAAGCTTGCTAATACTTGTTTATTTTACCTCCTAGCAAGTAAATCAATTCTTTCTCCCACAGGGATGTCGATGGAGTGCTACGACGGGCAAACAGCACAGAATACGGGTTAGCTTCAGGCATTTTCACAAAAGACATAAGCAAAGCGCTCTATATCAGTGAAAAGCTAGAAGCTGGGACAGTTTTTATAAATACATATAACAAAACTGATGTGGCAGCACCATTTGGTGGATTTAAACAGTCTGGCTTTGGAAAAGATTTAGGTAAGTTGTTCTCTACCTCATTTCTTATCCGATAGTCCAAATCAATGAAAAAAAAAACTTTAGCCACGAACTGCTAAAATGAGCTATGGATGTGTTTCCTGCATCTCCCACATTCCTCCAGGTAGCGATCTAATTCCTCTCTCATCCTCACAATATTCCCACCTCAGTACCTCCAATTCAGTCCCTCCTGTACAAATGTTAAGTAATGCTACAGCATACAGAATATTCCTCTCAAGCAGTCAAACGACAGCTTATCCAGAGCTGCCTGCAGGCTACAAAATGCTGTCAAGCAGCAAAGGTATTGGCCAAAATCTTCTTTACTTTCCCTCCAAAAGACTGTTAATTTAGGTCTCTCCTCTAAACTTGTAAGAGCTTTAGAAATTTCATTATGTTTCAAAATGTTATCAAAATCTGCCAGTGAGCACTGGAAAGATTGCATGAAGATATTCTCTTTAAAAAAAAAATGTTTCAAAAAAAAAGTCAGTTTTAGTCTAGCAAAGAATCTTTACAAGTCTGGACAGATCAAGCCTCATGGCAATGAAAAAGTAAAGAATTTTTTATCACAGTAATGCAACAGATTTTTGCCTTTTGAATTTCTAGCAACTATCAGACATTTGTAGAAACCAAAATGATTAATATTACCAGAAAAAAAAGGGGGGGAGGAGGGAGGGAGAGAGAGATTAAAAACTTCTACACAGAATTTTTATCTGGAAACTTAAAGGCAAACCAAACTTCTTAAATACAACTATGAGTCTTCCCCGTTGCCATCTAGAGATTGCTGCCACTTCAATCCCACCCAAGTGACTGCTTGTTAAATTCCAGCTGTTTTCTTTCCACACTTGTTGGTTGTGGTCTCTTTTTGTTAAACCAGTTCTGTAAATCTAAGGGGGAGGGTAAACTGATTAGTTTCTCATCATTTGTTAAGTGCTCAAATGTTGGCTAAAGCATTTTGATTTTTTTCTTCAATGATGTAGTTAGATTCTCTGACAACTTTCTCTCATTTAGCTGCCATTCTAACTGATTAATATTGTGCTTGTACAGGTGAAGAAGCTCTTCATGAATATCTCAGAACAAAGGCCATCACTGTGGAATATTAACAGCCTCACTTGGAAAGTAAACTTTTGGCAAAGTTTTAATCTTAAGGACTCCACAAAGCACTAAATACCATGCCCAGGATATGCTGTCTGCAGTGCTACAACTAGAAAAAAAGAATACACTCATTCCATAGATAAATTTCCGTAAATCAGGTCCAAATTTTAGTCTCACTGAAAGACAAAAGTATTTGGGAATTATCCTGAAGTTATTTAAATTATCCAGCAACAGTAGCAGTTGTAAGCACAAGCAAAAAAAAAAAAAAAAAAAGTATTAAAAAAATAAGCCAAACCACAACTGAAAGATCAGTTCTCACATGCCTACTACTTATTTGTGTGAACATAGTATCTACATGATCATTTTTAATCTTTAGTCATAAAGCTTGACTTAAAGTTGAACTAAAATATGCATATTATTAGGTCATTTTTGCTATAAACGAGTTCAAGTTTTACAGTAGCAATTAAACATTCTGCTCTGGTGATTCTTCAGCAGTACAGAAAACCTTCGTGCCATAAGTAAATCAATGCAAGGAAGTGCACTTACTATGATCTTTGTATAACACATACAGAGTTCAACATCAGTGTTAAAACTATGCATATCAAGCTAAAGTTACTGAAAATATTTTCTATCTTTTTGTTGATATGGAACATGTGATCTGCCTGCAGTTTGAAAGGTGTTTACATTAACAGATTAAAATCACTCTGTGTCTGTGCAGATGGACTGTTATCACCGTTTTATATTAACCTACTGGAAAATTGCTTTTAAAATGACTGAGTTAAGACATTGGCTATCAAACTTTCTTCAGTTTGAAGCCTTCTGAACAGGTCAAGACCTTATCTAACAAACTAAACCTACAAGGACTGCTTGCTTTTCTTAGTCTGCAACTCCACCTAGAGTTTAATATGATCTGTGAGCTACCATTAAAAGTAGCAGCCCCATTCGTTGATTCCCATCCTTTCCATTCCCTAAAATACTCAGTGACTTAATCAGCTAATCTCAGTGAATCGTGCCCCCCCCCCCCTTCCATTTTTAAGGAGCCACACTGTGAAAGACCAGAATCCTTGTAATTTCTTATCAGAAACACTACCAAACAGATCATAAAAGAAAGCTCTAGAATTAAGTGCTGGATTTAAAACAAATGGTGTAAATAATGGCAGGTTTCAAGTCATGATGTTTTAAATTTAATATTTGAGTAAATACAATATAGAAAATTTTACTTTAATGGTGTAGAAAGTAAAAAATTCCTTTAAGAAACAAACTGTGATATCCAGAGGCATCATAGATTCTTCTGAAATGCAAAGCCATCTGTGAAGTAAATTCGACAGCCCAAATCATTGTATTTGATCAATCTGAGGAAAGTACGAATAAGACATAACTTCACCGATTACAGTTCCACAGCTGTTTCAAGCTAGTTCAGCCTCAGTACGCACATACTGAAAATTAACCTTATTCTTCTGGCAATGGCAGTTGTTAACCAAATGGAGAGGACAAAAACATGATAGAGAAAGTGAGAGATGAGAAGTGTGGCTTGGAGCAGTTTTAACACCACAGAGGCAGACTTAACCAAGTACCAAGGATATATAGCCACAAACATTGCAGATACAAGCTAGTTAGGTACTAGCAGCAACCCACCCGTAACTCCGTACAAGCCAAGAAGTGTGTGTAATCCTTTGTCAAACTCTCTCAAGTCATGGCTTGTTACAAATCTGTCCTTTACCATGCTACCTCATCTTGAAATGGCTCCAACCACTGCTTTGGTGTTCATGAATGCAATGTAGACAACCTCTGTTGTACTTCAAGGTAATGTTTAATATTGAAGACATGGTACATAACATTTCACAGGACACCATATAAAAAAAATATATTTTTCTCCTAGTTACCTCTTTCCTCCCCTGGAAGCAAATATTTATTTTAAGTACAGTACAAGAATCTTTATTCAACAAAGCAACAGTTCTTAACTAGCTCTGCAGCATGCCTTCCTGTTCAAGTGCCCCAGATTCTAGCCACTTTGTCTAACCTCATGATGAAGCTTGGAATTTCCATTTTGTTTGATGAATAAGACAGTACTTAATCTTCAGAGATGCAGCTTGCCTCAGAGCCATGAGTAGATCCTGAATTCTCCTCTGTGCAAACTAAAGCATTTTATGTGATCCTGGGAAGTGTCACACTGGGAAACAAGGTAGTTTTAAGGGCCAAATTGTCAAAGAAAACATAGTTGGTTTGTTTGTTTTTCTTTAAAAAAAAATAAAAATGGATTTACTCATTCTCTTTGCTGTCCAAAATTTCTATTTTGCCCTTTTCTTCCTTTTGTTTAGGAAACTTAATATTGTGTATTGTCACTTCATCAGTTGTACAGTCATCTTCAGATTCTGAGTCATCTTCTGAAGTTAGTATCTCTTCATCTGTATCGGAACCACTCAGTTCAACTACAGCCACATTCTGGAAAAAAAAAAAAAAAAACAAAACTGAGTTAACATATTATACATTTCTGTATCACTTTTATAATTTGAGTAAAATATAAAGAAAACAAATCAATCAGCCCTACTAGCATAAGAAAACCACAACCACAGTTAGAATTTTGGCTTCTTCTATGATTATGACAGGTATCATAAACAGATTCCTAAATATTAAAGTTGTAATTCTATTGCCCAATAACAAACGTAAGGTATTTTTGTATCATTATAAAAGAGAGAACTGAATACATACCTGAATTCAGTCTAAATTAGAAGTTTAAACTGGTAAGCAGTAAGCATCAAAACTAATATTCAATAAAGAATTTAAATCAAACCACTTAATGCATAAAAGGGGTCATGATATATGCATATAAAGGGTTTATATATTTATGAATATAAATCATATAATTTAGTATTATTGATTGTACTGCAACCATCAACACAAAGTAGCAAGCAGTTTAAATCACCAGGATATTTTCTGAAGCAAAAATGATTGTATATTTCCATATGCAGAGCTATGATTTGAGGTCTATTTATTTTTTTCTCTGAAAGCATCTGTCTTAAACTGACAATTCTCACCTCAAAAACTTCCTGTATGCTGCAAGGCAAAATACAGGAATACATATTTATACAAAATATGTTAAATATACTAAATGCACATATAAATATATATGTGTATATAAACACATGTATAAATACAAAGTATACAAAATACAGGATACATATTTATTATGCAAATACATTTCTTACATTATCTGTAAATAGCACTATGCTATTAATGACTAGGTTTCCTAGCTCGTTTATTATAAAACCAAGACTTTTGTCAGATGTTGCCATATCAAAAATCTTTTTAAAATCCTGCCCGTTTCCCATGCCATATCAGCATGTTACAACAATTCTCATAATCTACTTTGTTTTTTCACTATTCTTCGGCCTAGTTCCTTCTAATATCAGAGGATTATTTTACTTGTATCTAAATTTATTGTATAGAACCAAATATATAGTGTTTACCATTTCTATAACTTTTTCTGTGGCGCCGTCTAGATTTTCAATATCAAATTGATGAGCTGGTGCTGTTACCATTTTTCTTCTTAGCTCATCATTTGCATGTGCCATCTGTGGTAAAAAGCTCTGTACTCTGTCCAAAACTGAAACAGAAATAATTACCACCTGCATATCTATAAAAAGACATAATCACTTATACATTTATACCTCAGAAACCTGAGCTTCTAAACAGATTCCATTTCAATTGTAATTTCCAATTGTCAACTTATGTTTTAATAGGAGGATTCTTTATAGTATTCAATTTCCCAAGACATAAATTGCTAAAAGACACAGGATTGGTCAGCATGTGGTACAGGTGAAGAAATCACACCTACAATTCCATTTGGATTCTTAAAACAAAATGCGGCTAGTAAATGCCATGGTTTAAAATCATGCATTGAATGTCATCTTGAGAAATTTCCACATCAGCATTACCTCCAGTGGAAACAAAATTATGTCCTCTTTTGTTCCCTTACAAAGTATAGACTGAAGGACTCAAAGGACTCTAACAGGCATAACGCACATCTGAAATGCTGTCATTTTCATAAAGACATGCATTAAAATTAATTTATTATTAATGAAATATTATATGGTCCAGCTAAATCATTCTGGCAGAACATTCATTAAAAAATAAGTTATTAAAATTATCCACATAACATGCATGAATTTGAAAGTAGATGACTAAATGAAGACCAAAGGTACAGCCTAGATAATTCACTGTATGCAGACGCTGGGATTTTTCTCTGAGCATGTCTCTAAAAGGTAAAACTGCAACACCTAGCACAACAAATCTGGTTTTGCAGAAACAGCAGTTACATAGTAAACCTGTAGGAGGCGTAACTGCAACAAAGAATCTAACACCAACAAAACAGAACATGAAAGTTTCTCCCTTCACCAACACAAGGAAATATTTACAGATTCACAGATGAATAAGCGTGTTGAACTGTTAAACATTAACTTCTGTTAAATAAAATAGCTAGTAGTTGCCACTGCCCCAGAAGCAGAATACTTACCATTACTCCTCGGCATCCTAACCGTCTGTAAAGTTGTGGCCTTCTTGCTGCTATGTTTTGAACTAATCAGTAATGTCTCTTCTAGCCCTGGAAACAAACAGGTGTTTAAATGTTTATTTGCACCAACCACAAATCTCACATTTTAAGGGTGAAGCTTTTCTCTTGCTGCTCCTTCTCCCCTTTCTCTGTACCAAACCCAAACAGATGAGGATTAATTCAGCTGTCTCTGCCTCCAGAAATCCCAGTTTTCTTCCCTGCAAGTTTCACGTTTCCTGCTGTTTTTTCACGTTTGTTTGGGTTGGGACATGCCAGTACCCCTGCAGACAGCAGGCAGTGAGCATCTAGCACTTGCTACCACAAAAAGCGTGACAGCGGACAGGTACAAAACGGAGTTAGACGAACTCAGGGCAGCACTCACAACCAGATCCCATGGGACTGAGCAGGAAGGTGCCCTCCAGCAGCCCTACCCCACAACTACAGCCACAGCAGCTACAAGAACAGGCGGCAGACAGTGCTCAAGAAGCCCTCCGCACCACATGCTGCCGCAGCTGCTGGGAGAAAGCCAGCCGAAGCAGGGGGGCACCCCGGCTGCAGGCCCCGATGCCCGGAGGCCCAGATGAAGAGGGGTGGCGAAGCTGCCCCCTCCCTGAGCACGGGGGTCCCGCTGCCCCCTCCCCGGCCCCGTTTCTGCCCCTCACCTGGGCGGCGCCCCGCGGCCAGCAGCTCCCGGGAGGCGCCCGGTGCCGCCGCCATGCGCGCACCCGGCCGGAAAATGGCGGCCGGGGAAAGCCCCGCAGCGACCCCTGGCGGGCTCCGGGGGGGGGGGGTGCCTCAAAACGAAAAATAACTCAAAAAAAGGGCTTTGGAATCTTGTTGGAACGCCTTTTTTTGTAACTTTCCAGTTTTCATGATCAGAATCTGGGGAGCTGAATGTGGGAGCCCGAGGGGATTGTAGGTGTCGTTTGGGAAAGCGAGTGCTGCAGCTGCCAGGTTCAGCTCGGGGCTGTTCCGCAGCTCCCGGCCCTGTCTGTAAGCTGGAAAGCCCTAAAAAGAGAACCGAGTGCTTCCTAAGGGAGGAGATGGGATGTCCAGGCCCAACGTGAGGACAAGGAGTACTCAGGTAACTATTGCTCTAGTAGGAGATGTGAAACTTTATGAATTTGCTGCCTTGTTCCCACCATTCTGCCCAGCCGTGCTCTGGAATTCCAGCCTCCAAGAAGGATCCCTCTGCCCGCTCTTGAAGACTGACAGATGCTGAGGACTGAGTTATTTAGTGGTGGGCCACAAAACACCGAGGCTCTAAATTTGCTCCCAGCCCAGAAAAACCACACATGAGCCCAAAATAACACATTTCATCCACGGGCACAAAAAGTGGAGGCAGGGACACTGTGGTGCCAAGGAACCTCCAGCAGGGTGTGATGAGGTGAGTTGTGCAAGACGCCCAAGCAAGCAGTGAGACAAGCCAGGAACAGCACCCTCGGGTGCTGTTCTCATATATTCCAAGCTGCAGTCAGCAATACCAGCAGCAGAAGCACGCTTTACTTGGTTTGCCTAGCACCCAGCTGGTTCCCAGGCTGCATAGCACAAGGTGCAGGTGCATGTGGCTGTCATGAGGCCGGGGGACAACAGCTCCTGTAGTCCACATGGCTTAAGAACTGATAGCCCAAAGATTTGGGCTGCTTCATTCCTTCAACGCAGTCTCAACTCGGAGCTCATGGTGATACTTTGTGTGCCGCTGCCGCAGTGCAGAGCATTTTGGCTGCTGTCCTGCGAATACATCGTCCTGTGCTCGAGCTGCTGCTTTTCCATGCACCTTGAGTCAGCTAGCTCCAGCTGATGGCAGATACTTGGTGCCTTGCCCGTGCTCTCTTCTGGTCTGTCGACAGAAAGGAAAAAAGATGCTGCAGGCTTGGCTGCTGCCACCATCATTAAACCCAGGTTGCCCTTCCTTCCTCTTTCTTCTCTTTCATTTTCCACTTCAGGCATCCCCAGTGCTTTGAAGCACGGAGCAGCCGTCAGGGAACAACACCAACAGCGGTAACATCTGCACAGATTCAGCCGGCTCCACCATTTTAATGTGCTAAGCTAAAAAAACAAGTGTGTTTCCAGATGAGGGTTTTGAGGGTTGATTAACAGGGCCCAGCAAGTCCTTGGCCACGCAACGAGTCAGTGAGGGGCGCTTCATTTGGGACGGGCAGTTGACTGCGGGGGCAGCTGATCGCAGGCGTGGTACGCACGGACTTGCACTCAAGCGCTTGGTGGGCGGCCTGACAAGAGCCAGAACATCTCAGCTGACCCAAATACCCAGAAAACCCCGTTTTCTTCGGAAGCTATTTTTAACCGCGCTGCGGGACGGAACGAAAACAGTAACAAAAAAATATACATGTATATAAATAAATAAATAAAAATCCCGAAGTAAAGCCAAAACTGCTGACTCGGAAAGCTCTGCCAGAAAACCTTTCGCACCCACCCACCGAGGCCAGGGCTGCCTCCGCCGCCCCTTAGGGCTCCCCGGGGGGCTGCGGGGCGCCCCTCTCGGCGGCGGGGGTCAGCGGGGGGGTGGCTGGCGGCCGCCCGGCCTCTTCCCTTCTCTTCCCCTTCCCCTCCGCCGGCTGCGGGCTGCCGGTGGCGGCGGCGGCGGCGCATCACGGGGCCACATCATCGCGGGGGCCGCCCGCCGCTTCCGCGCCTGCTCGCTGCGGCGCCGCTCACCTCGCCCGCAGCTGTCAGCGCCGCGATGGAGCCCAGGTGAGGGGCGGCGAGGGGAAGGGGACAGGGGTGATGGGGGTGATGGGGGTGATGGGGACGGGGACGGGGGTAAAGGGGTAAGGGGCGGCCGGCCACCCACCCACCCACCCAGCTGCCGCCCTACCGGGGAGAGGCAGAGGGGGGGGAATGTCCGGGAAAGTTTCCCCGCCGGGCGGAGCCGCGGGGCCCCAGCAGGGTGCTGTGGGGTGCAGCGGCCCCGCAGCCTGCCCCCGAGCTCGGCCCCGGTGCTGTGGCCTGCCCCGAGGCTGCTCGGCACGGTGCCGGGTCGGTGGAGGCACTGCCCGCATCGCCCTCTTGGTGCTGGTCCCACCTGGCGTCCTCCAGCTGCGCCGGGGTCTGGTTGGGGTCGCTGGAAAAGCAAGGAGCTTGTGCCCGACCAGCCTGCCACCATCACCTTCTTCCTTCTTTCCCTATATATATATTTTTTATTAGTCTACGAGCTTTGTGATTAACGTGTGGTGACACAACGCTCGCGCTCTTTCCATCCTCTCCTGCCAAAACATAAGAGCTTTCTGTCATTTCCTCCGCTCCATCATTAATTCTCAATTACCTTCAAGTGGGAGCTGCAAGCACTTTCCCTAATTTCCGTAAATATTTTCGTGCCTCCTGTGCTGCCCAGGATGCAGTCCTGTACTCTTCACTAACATTTGATCCTAGATTATAGACCACAATATTATTAGCCAGGCTCTGATAAGTGCAGCATATAAAATTAAATTATTGTTTAGTCTTAGTATCAGTAATAAATCATAAAGATACAGGGGGGGAAAAAAAAGTCTTCTCACATGAAGAGTTCCAGCAGCTGTTAGTAGATATCCTAAGTTATCTTCGCTTTACCAGCTCAGTAATGCAGGTGAAAAGATGAGATTAGATGGGAAGACCTGTCTTGGCAGTATTCCCCACTTATATTGCCTTAAAGAGATTATTAACCTGGAAGCATAATGACACGGTACGACTGGTAGACGTTTCAGAAGGAAAAATAACACGTATCATTTTCTTTTCAAATACTTAAGGACATTATCTCCCCAAAACAATGGGAGGTCTGTATCCTAGTGCCTGAGTTAATAAGCAATTCATCCCTCCCTCACGATGACAGTAGAAACCTGTAATCAGGATCCCAAATAGTGCAGCTAGGACTCATCCAGGTAAGCACCTAATGGTTACTTATCTAAAGCAGTGCGCTACCTCTTCTGTTTCAAACTTCCCCACCTGCTTTTGATGGTCTGGATGTGATTTGCCAGACAGTTTTCGTGCTGGCATTCCGTTTGGGTGATTTTGCAACCTGACCGCATTTCACAGCCTGCCGCTTCGTTTCTGGCTCTGTTTTGGTCTCTTTTAATTGAGTTGCCTTAAAAGTGCAGAGGCAAACCAAATCTTTTTCTGACAGCTGCTTTTCCCTTCCTCGGGGCAGAAATCGAAAGCTGCCATGTTCAGGAAGTGAAATGCAGCAGTCTGAAACTTGTCTGAAAATTGAGCCTGAGGCTGGCTGCTCTTCCAGTGTCTTCATTATTTTCAAGAAGGCATTTGGAGGTTGTTTCATCTATTTTTTTTTTCGTCTCTTTTGCAGTTGATTTAACCTACAGCTGCCAAAAAATAAACACCATATTAACTAGTATATCACATAATATTTTAAAAAATGGTACGTGATGCCTATTCATCTGCTGTGCACACAACGCTTATTATTTTTCAGCATGTTTTCCATTTTTTCATCCCAAACACTAAGTATCTGGTATAAATAATCTTAGCACACACATCATCTTAGGATTTGGATGCTACAAACTGGTTAATAATAATACAGTCTGTTTACTCTGTCTATATGCTGAGGTGAACTGATGTAGCTTTCACTTTCTGCTGATACGTTCACCAGGACATGGCAGTGTAAATGATTAGCCATAGCTGATATAAGGATGTCAGGGTGATATCAGGAATTTGTACGTACACAAGACGTAGCAGTGGAAAAGAGGCCGTGCAGATCCTATAACACCTTTGTAAATCTTATTCTGAACCTGCAAAAAATCCCCTAAAATGTCACATTCCAGACTTCAGAACCTCAGAACTGTTGGGGTTGGAAGGGAACTCTGGACACTGCCCCATCAGCCACCGCTGCTCAGTGTAGGGTCAACTAGGGCAGGGTGCTCTGGGCCTTGTCTGGTTGTATTGTGTCACTGAGGATGGAGACTGTAACCTGCTTGGAACAGTGTTCAGCCACCCTCACAGTGGGGAAAAACAAAAAGAGGAAGAAAAAAAAAACACTTTTATATGTATATGTATATGTATAAATATAATTTTAAGTGTTTAAATTTGTGTACATTGCCTCTCATCCTTTCACTCAGTACCACTGAAGAGTCTGGCTTCATCTTTTTAACCTCTCTCACCAGTTATTTGTACACTTGGCAAGATCCCTCTGAGCATTTTTTTCTTGGTGCTGAACAGTTCTAGCTCTCGCAGCCTCTCCTCGCCTATCAGATGCTCCCAATACCCAAATCATCTTCATAACCTTTTGCTGGACTGGCTTCACCGTGCCCATGTCTCACTTGTACTGGGAAGCCCAGAACTGGACACAGCACTCTGGATGTGTCTCACCACGGCTGATCACTGAAATATTGTCTCCTTCCAACTGCTGGCAGTGCTCAGCCTGGGATGCTCTTGACCTTTCTGCAGCAGGGGCATGCTGCTGGCTGAAGGTCGGCTTGTCCTCCAACAGGGTCTTCTCTGTACAGGTGGTTTCCAGCTGCTGGGTTCCCAGCCTGCGCTGGAGTGTGACCTTATTTCTTCTCACTATCAGGACTTTGCATTTCCTGTTGCTAACCTTCATGAGATTCCTCTTGTCCCGTTCCTCCAGCCTGCCAAGGTCCCTCTGAATGGTAGCACAGCCATCTCATGTAATCTTCTTCATTATATCTGTCTATAGACATGGCACTGACCATTCCATTATAATTATCCCAGTGTTGAATAGGTGGAAGCAGACCATGAAGGGAAAAGAATCAAACACTAGATATTCAATAGCTACACAAGCTGGTATAGAAAACTATTTAAAAACACTTATCAACATCTCCTCCATGTAACTTA